AAGAAACCTGCTGTGAGCTGTCTGTGTGCATAGCCTCCGCAGTGTTTACCTGTTACTATAAAGCCAGCAGAGAACTGCAGGGATTCCTCCCACACCTGGATCAAGATATTACTGGAGATCTCTGCAGCTAGGTAGGTCTTGATAAACTGTGTATCTGAGACAAGTAAAGAGATCTACCTTCTTAGGAAAACAATAAAAGCCTGGAGAATTGTTACCTGGTGGTAGCTGCCTCGGTAAGGCAGCTTAATCCCTTTGCATAGCTTCACCTTCAAAGAGGGGAAAGGCAGCGTGTGCAGAGCCAAGAGCCTTGTATAGCCTCTGGTCAGTGCCATGACCTTGAGATGCTTGCCTGCTCAAAGGCATTTGCCCATTCTGATACTGAATTGTGAAATGGTGGAGCACACAGTCTTTATTATGTTCAGCACTCTAATGTGTTTCATCTAAGATAAACTTTTTCTTTTGGTTCCTTTCGGTTTGTTTTTTTTCTCTTCAGATTGGTGATTTTGTTCCCCACATGTCACCACACCTTGTGTTTCATTATTCTGTGGTCATTCCCAAGCTGATCAAAAATCCACAGATCTCCCATAATACAGTCCCTGACATCAGGCTGGAAAAAATTCCCTCATCCAGGAAATAGCTGGGACATGCAGCTACCGATGGTTGCTGTGGAGAAGGACAGAACTGCCTAGTTATTCAAAGTTTTCCAAGCTAAGTCACATGCAGCAAAAGGGAAGACAATGTTTCTTCTGCCAGCTTTTGAGCTAAAAGTCTTATCTTTCCTGCTGCCAGCAAAGCAGAGCACTGTGGATGTTTCCTGAGGCTCAGCCTGCACTCGTGGTGGCTCATGGTGTAGGACCTCTCAAATCAGGGACTACATACTGTGAAGGTCATAATTTCCTATATTTCTTCTGTAAAACTGTGCTCTCATTTTGAGCTTTAGATGGATGACGCATCAAAGCAAGAGGCCCTTAGTCCCAACAGAGCGGTTGACTTGGATATTCTCTTGATGGGACTGTACTGAAACGATCAAAACAATGTGAACTCCACTCCTGATGAACATATATGGAAACACCACCTCAGAACTGGAATTTTCCCGTCTCCAGCTAAAATTGAATCGTAATGCCAAACCAAAGTGGTATTAAACAAAGAGAAACAATAATGGTGCATGAAAGGAAGTTGAAATGAAAGAGCAAAATGTGAAAGAAAATGGATAAATCCAGAGAAAAAATGGTCAACACGTGTTTTGAGTCAAGCAAAAAATGTTTTGCTGAAAGATTCGCCAAAATCAATACAGATCTATGAAAGAATTCAGCTTTAATAAATCAATGCTTCTCAGCAAAATGGGGATTTATGTTTCAAAAATTCCACTGCCTCTGTGTATGAAGCCCATCAAGTTCAGCTTTGTTGCAGGTGTGTTAGGCAGAAAAGCTACATTAATTTTGATTAGTGAATTCCTGGGGTGCCATTTCTTCTACAGATGCTGTAGGATAAAATGGCTCATCCAAAGTCAGCTGAAGTCTGTGGCAAGATTTTGACAAAGTCCAGTGAATTAGGTCTGGCGAGACTGGGAGGCTGAGGGATTGGATTACATAAATACCCTGTAGCTGTATGGAAGAACTAACTATTAAATAGGTATCTATTAAAAAGCGCTTTTCTTTGATGATACAAAGTTTTAGTCTTTTACAAATAAACAGAAGTGATCAGCAATGGTTGCTCTGTTGGGGTTTTTTTAATTAAGTAAGTTAATATGTTTTAAGTCTTATGTGTTAACACTTGAAAAACCTTTCCTTCTCATGATAGTCTCCAAGGAGCTGCAATTGCTTAATCATGTGTCTAACCTGCCACTTCTTCAGGGCCCATTAGATACATGATTAGGTGTCTCTCAGCCAAAAAAGAAAAAAGAAATAAAACGTCTGCCAAAAGCCTTGGAGGGATGAAATGAAACTGACAGTTAATGTTTCAGAAACTCAGAACCATGTGGTTTCTGCAGAGTGAAAAGCACTTGTGATCAAAGGGAAGAAGGTTTTGGGTTTTTTCAGCAAGACTTTTTGATTTAAAATCATGTATTATTAGCTGGGCCACTCCTGTTTTCATAGAGTCAAGACACTTCATACAATGCAGTTTTGTAACAAAAACACTGCTGAAGTTAAAATCCTGAACTTAACTGTACTGTTAAGAGTTGTCCAGGTTGGCTGCCTTACCAAACAGAGTATCACTTTTAAATTGAATTTACTGCCTGGGTTGCAGTTTTTCTCATACTATAATAAAAATGATTCCTGTTCCTTTTTAAAAGTAAGTAAAATGTTAAAAATAAGGATTGAGGTTTCTTTTAACTGCTAATTGAAATTAATATTTTGATATTTTCCACCAAAGAGACTTTTAATCACAGGACAGGTGTAAAGAGCCTAAGCAGGGATGAAGGAGGAGATATCCCCTTGCTCAAGTATATGATTTGCCTTTGTGATGAGTAAAACAGACTCCTGGCTCCCCCCAAATCCATTGTTGTGTGACTGGGTGTTGAGGTGAGGAGGGAAATGCAACGATGCAATGCGAGACACATAATGAACACAGAAAGAGCTGTAAGCACTGGGTTGGAGTTACATGGAGAGCCAAGGTCTTGGAGAGGACAGTTGTGCTGTCAGGCAGGGTGGGAATCACTGTGTAGAAGCTTCATCTCAACCTAGAATTCAGAGCTGGGGGATAATGGACTTTGTGACGGACTACTCCCCTGAAATTCTGAGATAATGGGAAGATTTGGACCTGCAGACAAAAGATGATTTGAAACATAGACTTTACATTGAAGCCTTCTGCTTCATCGTCCTCTCCCTTTTCCTGCCTGCAAAGAAAGGGACTGGCTCCAAGGCTCCAACAGGAGAGGGTGACTCACTCTACAGCCGCTGCATCAGGCAGCTGCTTGAGATGTGAAAGACCAAGATGCTGGGCAGTGAGTCTTATTACTCACTACTTACCTAAATCTTTCAGCAAAAGCAATGGGGAGTCACAGCTGATTCCTGTGAGATCCCAGGCACCTTCTGAGAGGGAGAGAGAGCTTTCAGTAACTTCTGGAATATGCAGCAGACAGGCACTCTGAAGGAGGGTACAGCATTACACTCCTGCATTGCCCTACACTAAACCAGATGTATCTGGCAAAACCAGTGTCATCTAGCTAGCAATATTTAATTAACTCTGATGTAATGTTGCATGCAATTAAAATTGCTAGAGTGCAGCTCACTCTCTACTATATTCTGTTGGTCCTGTTTAGTCTTATTTTCTCTTGTAAAAGATTTGATAGTCCTAGACTATCAAATGATGAAATATTTATTCTACATGTATCAAGAGCAAGAGTTTGCAGAAAAAGTCATTGCACAAAAGGCAACAATCCAATACTTATCAAGGTTGTTTTTAGAACAAATTATATGTCACTAGAATTTGTTAACTAAAACTTCTGGAAAGGCACATACTGTTTGAAAGAGATGAAATTCACAAAAACAAACAGAAAGTTGGAATTTGTCCTAACTAAAGATAAGATTAGAGGCAAAATGTCCAGTTCCTACTTCAGTCTTTTAGAAGGACTGATGAAATTCATCCTCATTAAAGTCTGTTTTATCCACAACACTTAAAACAGATCATAAACAATTTGGAGAAGGAAGAGAAGGAGTAATGTGACAAACTCTGCTCAGCAGATTAGAGCACAGACTCCTAAACTTAAACTAAGTCCTTTTTCCTGTAGGCAGTTCCCTTGAAGTCCATTAAGACTACTTCCACATGCAAAGTTTCGAAACATCTTACCCACAAACACTAAAGGGAAAAAAAAGCCCAAACCAACGTATCTGAGAACTGCCAGATTATTACATTGCAGCATATGCTGGAATTTGTGCTTAAACAGTAAGTTTTGTTCAAGAATGGGTCTGAGCTGGAAAGATCTGCAGCTGCAGTTGGTTCATGCTCCACAAAAACAAAGACAGAGCAAACTACACATTTCAGGCAGTTCTATGTAACAAAGGACTGAGTCAAAAAAACCCTAGATATTCATGGTTAATGACTGAGTACTGAACTTCTAACTAAGCACAATGTTAATGTTAGTTGTGCTATTTGCAGCCACAGGAACTTCCTTGAACAGAGAGGTCTGCAGGAAAACTGCCAAACCATGCAACATCCTTGCACCGCTGAGGAAGCTGCAAGTCTCAGGGATGCAGGATATTCAGCTGGGAAGCTGGTGAACCTTTTGGGATGACAAGAACCTAAGCAAGGATAGGTTGCACCATAACAGCAGAGTCAGGTGGCTGGCCTTGAAGATAGATGAGGTTACAGAGGAATATTTAGCCCCAAAAGACAGCTGACAGGTGTGGACAACATCTGGTTTGGACTGATGCAGTCTGCCATGCGAATGTGGCAAGTGCTTGATGAGCCTTTGAAAATATCAGGAGGGAAAGAAACAGCAGTGAGACAGGCAATTCAGACAATCCACTGGCACATGAAACACTGAGCAAATAAGAGAAAAAATATGAAGGAATAAAGTGCTTGGGATCCAGAAACAGCCCACAAATTGTTGACATCTCAGAGACCTGAAAGTGACCTGGCTTGTACACAGCCTGTAAATAGCTTCTCTTACTGTCATCATTAGAGACAGAATATCAAGTTAGATGACATTCACCTGGTCAAGCAGGATGTTTCTTCTGTTCTTATGTTCTTTGACATGACACAGACTCCAGGTTGCACTCATGCATCAAAATATGGAGCATTCACAGACTCAGGGTGACTGTGGGTGTGTACAAATGCTGCTCAGGCTGAAATCTTACCTTGAAACTTTGCCTATCTTTATCTGCCAATTTTACTTTAACACGTTTGTTTTAGCTTGGCTTTTTCTTGCTGGTAAAGCCACAGTGATAAACCAATTACTTAACAACTCCTATGCACTTCAAGAACTGAAACAAAACACATATTAAACAGTTTTTCAAGGTGAGCAATATTGAAAATTATAACTGAAAAAAAAAGCTTACGTTCATAGCAGTAGGCGTCAAACTTGCTATCTGGGTATGGAAAGCCTGTTTGGTTCTCATAGCGATACAGAGTTCTCACCCCAAGTAAACCTCCACCACACTGGGGCCGTGCCACGGAGGCTGGGTATCGAACGCTGCCATCTGCCAGCCAGCCGTAGTCACATTGGTCAAAGCCGTTCCTCCAGGCCACGTAGAGGTTCCCAACAGAAGCCATGACACCACCTCTTTGCTGACACAACTCCTTAGCTTCCTCAAAGGTGAACTTTTCAGGGGCTGAGACATGAACCACTTCATCTACGTGAAGAAAAGAAGAAGGATAACAAAGACTGAGTAGTACAGTTCACCATCAAGTCAGTTTAGTTCTCCTCTTCCAGGCAGTGTCCTGCAAGGCTGGGCTTTTCCAAAACCTGCATACTTTTTTCCTTAAAAAAAAACATTATCAGATAGTTGAAAACCAAATGTCCCAGATTTGAATTTGAAAATTAACCTTACACAAGGCATGAAAATTTATATGCAAACTTTATTGCATGAAGTGCACTGTGTTGTACACTGAGTCCCTCCCTTGGTCTCCAGCAGAGGTATCAGAAGCCTTGAAGCTCCCATGTGAACTCTGTTGGGGTAGGCTTTGCAACTCAACTGAGCTAATTAAATCCAGTCCAACAGAATTCAGTCTCTCAACAAAACATGTTAGTTTCTTACCTGATCCTTTTAATCATCATTAGATTCTCACTTGAGACATTCCCAAGAAAAAACAAATATTCTAGACTGGCTGCTCTAGAGCAGCTTCTAATGTCCGATTTCCATCAGCCTTTTTCTTGCCCCATGGGCAAAAGAAGTTGAGGAAATGCACCAGACATGTTGCATGCACAAAGTCCTTTTTTTGTGTGAAAAAGTTGAATGGGCCTAGAATGTTGATAATATAGTTCAGCTTCCATGGAGTAAGAGTTGGTAAGTAACAGCTGTTTGGTTGGAAACTGAAACAAAGCGAATAGCACTTCTAATATTTTGCTTCCAATCTAAATCACAATTATGCAGTTGTGTCACCTAAACACTATAAAAAAAAAGGGTCAAGTCTCTAATGTTCATGTCTTAGGAATGAAGCAGTAAACCGACTCTTTTCCAGCTTTTGCTCAGGCTTCAGACAGAACCAGTGAGACCTAAACTCAGTAGGTTCAAATCAAACTGTGCAAACTCAAAATATTTGTTATAAGACAGTAATTCCCTTCCTCAACCACAGTAGGCCAGAACACAACAGTAACTGTTGCAGGAGATCACTGCTTATTCATACTGGACATGCAATCTGTCTCACCCTTGCACTACTCTGAAGACAACCCAGAAAAATGCAGACAGAAACTACATCACCCTGAGCAGTTTCATTCACATCAATATTATGCTTGTTAGGGCAGTGAAAGTAATGCAAGTGTGAAAGGAGGCAATGTGCCAACTTCTTTTTTCCTCCTAGGTAGGAGCTCTGATTTGTTATTACAGCTGTAATACCAATTCCATAGTGTAAGTTTCTTTATACATGTTGTATGGAGCTTCAAACTTAGAGGTAAGGAGACAGAGCATATCTATTGGAGAGGGACAGATAAAGAAAGCAAGAACCATTCATCCTTGAAAGCACCAGAATTCTTCAGTCAGCTCTTCAGACCACACAGATGATGAATTTTCTTTATTAAACCCTTCTCCAGAAGACAGCTTTTTCTGCATCTCCATGCCAGCTCTGGTGTCATGGCCAGCATGGAATGATGGATGCAGTTATGCCACAGTCCTGTACCAGCAGCAGTATCATGGAACAATGGAGCAATGAAAGACCTCTCCAGAGCAGCCCACTCTGCTCTGTGGTCTAGTCACCAATTCTCTCTCAGAGCAGCCATGATGCAGATGAAAATCAACAGTAAAAATGCAATTAAATTGCAATTATATGGCAGATATTAAACCAATTAGGCAAGAAAATGAGACAAGTAAAGAACAATGAATTGTCATGATTTCTAGGAAAAAAAAGAATCAAAAATTAAACAATGTCAGATAATTCCACAATGTTTCTTCTGAGAGAAACTTATTGAATACACAGGAAAATGAGTAAACAGTGCAAGATTAGAATTGGAATGGGCTGCCCGGGGGGGTGGTGGATTCACCATCCCTGGAGGTTTTCAAGATGAGACTGGATGTGGCACTTAGTGCCATGGTCCAGTAACCACGGTAGGGTTGGACTTCGTGATCTTGGAGGTCTTTTCCAACCTGGTGATTCTATGATTCATTACTAGAAAAGCACTACTCTATCAACTGGTCTGGATCACTGGCTCCAAATGGAGCTTAGCCATACCATCACTAAAGTTGGTGCTATTTATTCCTCTGAGCCATCGTCTGCACTCAATGCAGAGAAACTTAGTGGATAGGGAACAAATATACCCACAGTAAATTTTCAGATGACACCAAGTTAGATGTGTCATTCTACTGAAGGGTAGGAAGGCTCTGCAGAGGGATCTGGGCAGACTGGATCAATGGGCTGAGACCAGCGGTGTGAGGTTCAACATGAGCAAGTGCCAGGTCCTACACTTCAGCCACAATAACCCCGTGCAGCACCACAGGCTGGGGGCAGAGGGGTTGGGAGAAGGACCTAGGGGTATTTGGTCGACAGCCACTGAACATGAGCTAACAGTGTACCCAGGGGGCCAACAAGGCCAATGCACCTGGTTTGGCTCAGAAATAGCATGGCAGAAGGACTAGGGAAGTGATTGTCCCCCTGTACTCCGTACTGGTGAGGTCACACCTCAAGTTCTTTGTTCTGTTCTGGGCCCCTCAGCGCAAGAAAGACACTGAGGTGCTGGACCATGTCCACAGAAGAGAGTGGAGTCGCTGAAGGGACGGGAGACGACACGCCACG